GCCTTCTTTTTTTCCCGTTGGTTTTTTGAGACAAGGTTTCTCTGTTTAACAGTCCTGGTTGTCCTCACACAGAGATCTACCTGCCTCTGCCTCTTAAGTGCTAGGATTAAAGGTGTGCACCACCACCTCCCAGCATGTAAGAATTCTTAAGATCATGCTTTGAGGGAGTTGGAGAAGCTGTACAGGGAGAAATACTGAGCTAGACCATGGCTGGTTCAGCTGAATGGCCACACGTGGGTGTGATGAACCAATCTACCGTCCTAACTGAGCCTCAGATTATTTCACCACTTGTCACCATTTGAACACAGTTATGCACGATCCCAAGCAAGAACAGCCCAGCTTGCCGGGCTATGGTGGTGCACGCCTTTAATCCCAGCACTTGGGAGGCAGAGGCAAGCGGATCTCTGTGAGTTCGAGACCAGCCTGGTCTACAGAGCTAGTTCCAGGACAGGCTCCAAAGCCACAGAGAAACCCTGTCTCGAAAAACAAAACAAAAAAACAAAAAAAAACCAAAAAAACAAACAAACAAAGAACAGCCCAGCTGACCTATCAGTCTTCAGATGTTGGGGAATCAAGTTATCCGAAACACCTCTGTGGGACCGTTGTGAAGTAATGAGTAGATGAAAGATTGCCTCCCCAAGAATAGAGTTTGAAGTCAGGGATGGTGATGTCTCCAGTTCTTTTATTGTACAGAATTGTTTTGGCCTCCTGGGTTTTCTGCTTTTCCATATGAAGTTGAGTACTGTTCTTTCGAGGTCTTCGAAGAATTTTGTTGGGATTTTGATGGGCATTGCGTTGAAGAAAAAAGAAATCTTTAATGTCTAAAACTAAAATATAATAAGGTGGAGGAATAGCACTAGGGTGGGGGAGGCCTTGTTGTGTGAACCCCATTTTTTCCATTTGATCATTAACTGCATGGAGATCCTGCAGGAGGCGGTAGCATCCTGATCTCCTGGGAATAACAAATAAGGGTATGTTTTCTTGTGTTTGGTTCTATGTGCCCTATCTTTAGCTGTCTGCAGTTGATTCCTTTAGAGCTGATAGCTTTGGTTCATTCACAGGCCACTTCAGGCTAGGAGCCTCAATTGTGGTGGATTTCTGAGGGTCAGTGGCCCTTAGAATTGGGGGTGCAATACATGTGTAGGATCGCGATGTACCAAACCTGTCTTGTCTTTTCTTTCTTTGTAGACCAGGCTGGCCTCGAACTCACAGAGATCTGCCTGCTTCTGCCTCCCGAGTGCTGGCATTAAAGGTGTGCGCCACCACTGCCCCCAGACCTGTCTTTTCATGAACCTGAAGATTAGCGAAGAAAACCCTATCGTCAGGAGTTAGGACAGAACCCATACCCTCCAGGATGTCTCTGCTGAGGTTTCTCAATACCGTAGAACTGATAGGGTGACTGGCTCCCTTGTTGCCATTAAGATCTTTCCAATGGACCAGACAGGTGGTAGTTTTGAAACCTACTGGCCTCCTACTCCACTGATGGTAGGCCCAGATCTAAATTTCTAATGGGAGAAGTCAAGTGCCTCCATTTCTGTCAATATGGTGATATCCACACCCATGTCTGCCAAACCTCTAGCAGATAGACAGTCAGCACTGGGAAGGGTGGAAAAACAGGCCGTGTCCAATAGAGTTTTGGATTATCAGAGCCTCATCTTACTGGTGGGGCCGTGAAGCGCCCTGCCTGGAGTTTAAAGGAGCAGGTGCTTTGGCAGATTGTGATCTGCAATGCTTTGCCCAATGAGATCCCTTACTGCCTCTGGGGGCACCAGGTCCTAGGTTTTGCCCAGGGCAGTCACACCACAGATGGCCTGGCTTACCGCATCCCCAGCAAGGTCTGTCTACTTTAGCTGCATAATGGAGAGTTAATTTGGAAGCAGCAGTTTTCTTCTAGTTTCAAAACTGGATGGTACCTTTAGCCCAGTTTGTATGGTTCTATATTCCTTTTTTAACGGTATCTTTTAGACAAACTGACGTACGAGTAAGTTTTGTATTTATGTACAACCATGACCACACAAGAATGCCAGCACATTCGAGACCAGCCTGGTCTACAGAGTTAGTGCCAGGACAGGCTCCAAAGCCACAGAGAAACCCTGTCTCGAAAAACCAAAAAAAAAAAAAAAAAGCCAGCACACTGCAGTGCTACTAAGTTTGGTTTTGGTTCACAGGCCCGACTTGACCTTGTTTCTGTACTGGTCTTTCCTCATCTGCAACCCACTCTGATCTTTATAGCATGTCCTAAGGTCAGTATCGTAAAGAACACGAAAATACTCAAAATCTCATTGTTTCTGGGGGCCGATAAAACATCATCGAAGAAAAGTACTTCCATAAAAGTTTTATTTATCCCCACAACAACCCTGTGAGGTAGGGTGATCAGGGCATTTGAAGATGAGAAAACTAAATCTACATTACTTGTTCACGGCTATACTGCATAGTAAATAAGTAGAAATTAAATTGAGATTTTTAAATGTCCATAACTTCATATTGATTCATGTGGAAATAAGTAGAGAGAATATTAACTCCTCCCTACCTTAATGCCAAAAGGACACTACCTTGAAAAATCCCATTTCAAAAGATGAAAGTAGCATTTCATTGCTCATTTCTACAAAGATTTATAAAATAAAAAAATAGTGAAATATTTTAGTTACTATATATAATGGTCTCATTCAGGGACATGTCCTTCAGCTACGTAAATGATCAGCTATTCAGAGCTCTATAAATGCAAATTCTTTAGAAAGTATGAACGACAAAAATAATAATGAGCAGTAGCCTCAATCTTCATTATTCCTCCTCGGATCTTGAATAAGTTCTGTGAAATCTGGTCCCAGGACTTGAAAAGAAGAAAAAAAAAGGAAAAGGAAAAAAAAACCTACCACAGAAAGATGACTGGTGAACTTTTGTAGCCTATTCTCAAACCACACTATTTAGAACAGGGACACACCAAAGTTGTGTATTTAAATCATTAGGAGAACCTTAAAAAGGGAACTGTTCCCAGCCGTGCTCCTGACACAATGAGAAGGCTTCCCAAGGGCAGGCTTCAGGAGTTTGCAGTTCAAAAAGCTCCTCAGAGTAATTCTGATGAACATGCTGGTTTGAGAATCACTATGTATCTTAAAACAATAATATTAAACCATAAACTAGAATAAACTTGCTCTCATTTCCTTAATTCTTTTTAAAAAAGATCTCAAAACATGTTTGTTGACTAAATTGATTTACAATGAAATCTCAATTCAAGATAACAGAGAAACATTTTGTGAAAATGTATGTGACCTGGATTTCAATAATTTAAGTAGGATTTGAATATAAGGAACTGAGTTTTAACTCTGAAAACTTTTTAAGGTATTTCATACAAATTCCTAGCAGGTTTTCAACTCAAGGGAAGACATGAAAAGCAATGGTATAATCAAATACATTAGCACTGAAGAAAAAAAAATTCAAATACAGCCCATGAGAGGAATAAGAAAGTGAATGAATGACAACCTAAGGCCTATTTATTGGCCTTACATTTTTGTTCCCAGTCCACTCTTCCCCTATAAGGGGAAATAAAATAAACATTCTTTCCTAGTTCTTGGCATAGTTATTCGGTGGGTAACTATTCTAAGTTAATTTAGACATACAAGATTTAAAGAGGTAACAAATAAATACCTAGGAAGACAAAGAGGTCAGGTCACAAAACCTTAACTAGCTAGTGATGTAGTGTATAACACCATCATATCAGTACAAGGAAACGAAGGCTTCAGTGTCCTTTATGTGACTGACACAGACGTGGAAGAGATCCGATCCTTATGAAGAATCTGTGCTTGCTGTAAGACTTGTAGGAATAATGAAACACCTTCTTCACTGATGAGATGAAGTCTCTCTTACAGCCAAGTTGACAACAGAATAAGAATGAACTCCATTAGAAGGCTGAATGAAGCAAAAGCTAGCAGAAAGTCATTGGCAAAAGGTAACTTAAAAAACAAAAAAACATTGTCAACCCTAAAAAAAAAATTACCCCCAGAAATATATATATATGTATATATATATAAAACAATGTACACATCCATATCACTGACAGTTACAAGAAAATAGCCATTTATAGAAGTCACACAATGCTTTCAACAAGTCCCAACACAGTTTTGGGAAACAAATAAAGCCATTGGATAAATAAATATACATACTAGCAAATATAAAACAATTTCTGGTTACGAATTGTCATCGATTCTCTTTTAGGACCCAGAAAAATGGTAGTAAATCTGGTCAGGACTACATATATTACATGGGATTAAAAAATACAACCAATTAAAACATCCTCTAACAATGATACAAATATTTAAAAGAATGTCTTAAAGTCAAACATTCAGAACTGGAAATAGCACAATTTTAATAGGTCCTTAAGAGTTGTAATGTGTACACAGGTAGCTTGCTATGCCTCATGGATCCACTGCCCCTACATTTACTACAGGCATGTTTGTTGTGTGCACTGACAGTTGGGTGTGTCTCAATTAAAAAACAACACACCTCCGAGTAACTAAATGGAAGTGTTCTACAGCTACCAACAAAGGAAAGATATGACTGGAAGATAATCTACTGAGAAGGGAAATAGCTGGCTAAATTATTTGTAATTTGTTTTAAACTTTGTATCAATAACTTTAGAATTACCCAAATAAAGTAATGGAAAAATAATGTCCATTTATTTGGTCATATAAACTTTCCCACAATGGGTTTTCTCTGTCATTCTTGAGTCATCTATTAGCTGACTTTAAAGGAACCCTCCTCAATCGGGTCTGCTTTTATTATCAAAGTGCCCAGAGGCATAATGGTGTTTAAGTGTTTACATTTCCCCTTAAAGTTGTGGGAAGGGCTTTGAGACTGTATTCACTTAGTCAGGAAAGCTTTCAACAATTATGCATGTCAAAAATTCAGATCTTGTGTAGGTTCGGGGTTTGCTAAAGAAGCATAAAAATGGTGAGGGTCAGGAAGAAATTAACTAGGTTCACAATTTTGAGCAAGAGCATATGTAAAGGTAACGTATGTACATTTTATTTCAAGAAAGACATAAGACAAACAGCATAAAGATGCCCAGGTGCCCTAAAGATAAATACATTTAAAAGATTCTCATTAAAATGAATCTGTAGTATTGTTCCTGCAAGCAAAATACCTTTTTTTAAAATAAAAAAATCAGTATTCTGAATTGCAAATGCTTTTGCTTTTTTTTTTTGCAGAAAATCTGCCATGATTATTTTTTTTAATGAATAAGGATTTTCCACAAAACAGGCTTGCTCTACATGCTAGATTTTTAAACAGTTCAGTGACACAATATGCTAACTACATACATAACAGATAATAATAAGAAAACACTCAACCTGATGAAAAGTTAAAATCTTCATTAATACACTGAAAACTGACAACTCATGCCTTTAAAATCAAAAATACAAAAATTAAATGTTTTCCTAAAAAGATTTCCTTATTTTAAGGATTCATTTGAAAATGAAGCTGCATGTAATTTGTACAAGAAGTTGTACAAGTAAACAGGTAATATACATAAAAAATTAACTGACATACTCCTCAATTATCAGTTGTCCACCTTTAATTTCCAATACTGTACTTTCTTAACAAGCATACAAAATATCAAACTTCTCTTTAGAAAAAGTGCCGTTCTTTGACATCCTTTACACAAAAACAGTCTGAGCCTGCGGCATGTCAATGCAGTTGAGAGGCAAAGCATACTAACTCTTACAAATTCTACCTTCCATAAAAAGCCCCTGAAAAGGAGATTACACGCCACTATAAAAATATCAACCTCTTGTGGTAGCTGCATTAGAGAACCAAGGCGTGACGACTATTCCCACACAGCACAGAAAACAGCTGTGAGCAGACTAACTGCACGGGTGGCTGGGAGTGTACTGAGCCACGGGTATGCATAGCTACTGTTAGGTACCAAGCCTGTTACAGAGTTTTAAACTGATTGTAACCGAGAGTGTAACAGACGGACCACCAGCCCATGCAAAGCAAATACTGAGTCACTGTGCTGAATACTTCATTCCTGGAGAAAACCAAAGGCAGCAGTAACTGAATCAAGCCCCGACAGGAGACTGAACTCATTCTCCTCAATGATGTGCACAGTGAAGTCTGAGGTATACCTTTATCCATTCCATGTGTGCCATTACAAGATATTACCATCTGGAATACATGTCATCACAATGGTTCAAATCGCTTGAATATTAGTCATTCATATATTCTTACCTACCCAGTCTCTTGATTTTTGAAGATTTTACCTACAGTAGAATATTACAGAACAAAATATAAATGCATGTTTTTTTAAAATGAAACTTACATGGACTAAAAGAGAATATTTTTAAACAAATATACAATATGCAGGCAGACAAAGCAGGAAAACGGCCATTCAAATGTGTGTGTGTGTATATATATATGTATATATATATATATATATATATATACATACCCAAAAACTAAAAATTGACTATTTCCAGAAAACTGAAGCGCCTCAACTAAAAGGAATGCATCATGAGAGTCTAATCTAATACAGGTCAGAAGTGTAAAAAGGTTATAAACCTGAACAGGAAAAATAAAACAACTTTTACTGGCCATTCCTGTTGAAATGAGAATAGTAAAGTAACAGAAAAGTGGCTACAAACCCACTGAGAGCACCAAACAGAGGGAAAATGAAAGTCCACTTTCACCCCTGTTATTATCATAAAATCCTGTGTACTACAGGTCAGACTGCTGGTGGCAGAAAACAGAATTCTTTATAAACTGCAGATGTCCTGTACATAGAAAGTTTCACTGGAGTTGTACTAGCTCTACAGACGCTTCTGTTTTGCCTACCCACTGTGTGTGTTCAATCTGAGATAGATAGTCTCTTTCTGTAACCCTTGATTATTATTGGGCACCAAAGATAAGAAAAGCAAGACGGGGTACAAAAATGCAAAATTTCAACAGTAATGGCAATGTTTTTGTCTTAGTCCAAAGGGTCCTGCATTCTCTCTCCCCCCTCAGTGATCTGACAAGTCTCTGAACTTAATCTGGGGGCAGCAAATCATGCAAGCGAAATCTGTCTCTGATGTGAGGCCGGACATCTTCATTCTGTGTGGAGAAAAGATTATTTTTGAAAAGCCACATATTTCTAAGGTATGGTCCTATATAACACTCATTACAGAGGAAGTGGACTACTTCTTTACTTAATGACACTTTTTTTTTTTTTTTTCGAGACAGGGTTTCTCTGTGGTTTTGGAGCCTGTCCTGGAACTAGCTCTGTAGACCAGGCTGGTCTCGAACTCACAGAGATCCGCCTGCCTCTGCCTCCCAAGTGCTGGGATTAAAGGCGTGCGCCACCACCGCCCGGCTAATGACACATTATTTTGCTTGACAAATACAGTCAGTTTCTATAAACAATCTATAGATTCACATCTGTACTGGCAGACTTTTCTTTGTCATTAATCTCTAAACAATAGAGTGCAAACCATTTAACTTAGCATTTACATACTAGATATTACTAAGAACTCTGAAGATAATTTTAAGGATTTTGGAGGTATGTGAAGGTTGTACACAAACACCACACACAACTCTCTAAGGGACTTGAACACATATGGATATTGTTATTATGGGGGATCCTGGATTCAATCTAGAAGGGTTATGGAGGGGTGACTGTATTAGACTACAGCATAAAATAAGTTCAAAATTACATTTAGACTTAAGCTTTTTTCTTTCTTGTCATTTTGTTAAAAAACATTAAGAAGCTAAACCAATAGATAAGTAAAAGGTTTATATCACTAAATTCTACTTTCTACAATTGATTAACTCATAAATAAGAAAATAATTCCTAGAAAAAAGGTTGAGTGACAAAGCATTACTACTAAATGTGAATTATGACGGTAAAATGCATCATTACAGAACACATGTAAACAAAAGAGGAAACTATAAAAAGTAAAGTCAAGCACTCAGTATATAAATTTTTAAAAACTGGTAGGCCTTATTTTTTTTTAATAATTTCTAACAGAATTCGAAACTGTTCATGGAAAACAATGGTGGGCAGTAAGGACCAGGGTTTAGAACCTGAAATGAGGCTAAATTAATCACTAAATTTGTTTTAAGCCCTCTATCTTTGCCCAGGGGAGGAATATTATTTATTCTTTGAGCATCCCGGCCTCCAGCCCAGGATTTCTCTTATAAAGCCCAAGGAGAAGGGAGCCTTTTCTGAGTCCTTGTTCTCTCCAGTGCTTCTGGCTTCTCTGTTAATTTTCCTGAGGAATCACTGAGAAGGAAAGCCTTGCTGTAGACACTGTGATTTGTTGGGCATAGTAGCACTCAAGAGGCAGGCAAATCTCTAAGAGCTGGAGGCCAGCCTGATACACATAGTAAGTTCCAGGCCAGTCAAGTCTCTGGGACCCTGTCTCAAACAACAAAAAAACCACCTTGACCTATTTCTTTGGTCCATTTTACTGGCCACTGGACCAGCTGCATCATGGAAGGCTTCGTATCCTGCCTGAGGCAGAATCCTGGCAGTTCCAGCTGATTACAAATCTCTGCCTCCTATCAGAACTACCAGTGAGGATCCCAAATCATTTGCTCACCAGAACTACTCTCCCAGGCCATCTTTTTGTCTCACCACCACACACATGGCTGAACTCTTCCATGTCAGGAAAATTCTGAGCTGTTTTTAGCTCTCACACTCCTGCTTACTTCTAACTCCAAGCAAAAGCTAGGGGAAGTTTGTAAAAGGTTAGACTCCCTGAGGATAACTGATCACAGTGTGTCTGCGCATCACAGTGCAAGGCCAAGCTCACTCTCGTGTTGCCAACAAGAGCCCCCCCCCCCCCCGCAAGTCCTCCTACTTTCTGCTTATTTTTGTACATTTCATAACAGAGGACTATGAGTACTGAAAACTTTATCTTTTCAATATGCAAACAGAAACAAACTGTAGAAATTTTTTTTAAGACAAGAGTTCCGTTTAGTCCCAGGCTGACCTCAAGCTTACCATTCAAGAATCAATCACTTTTAATTCCTGATCCTCCTGCCTCTGCGATCCTTAGTGCTGGGATCAACTGGTCATTCATATGTACCACAACACTCAGAAAACTTTTGTTTCAATAAAAGAATGAGCCTAGTCAATTTCTACTGCATATTAAGTTTTATTAAAAAAAAACCTATTAGTTTTTTTTTCAACTTTTGCCACAATCTTCTTTTTTTATTTTTATTTTTTTTTAAGATTTATTTATTTATTATGTATACAATATTCTGTCTATGTGCAGAATATTGAATCTATCAGCAGGCCAGAAGAGGGCACCAGACCTCTTTACAGGCAGTTGTGGGCCATTATGTGGTTGCTGGGAATTGAACTCAGGACCTCTGGAAGAACAATCAGTGCTCTTAACCACTGAGCCATCTCTCCAGCCCCCCATCTTTTTTTTTTAAAAAAGATTTATTTATTTATTATGTATTCAGTGTTCTGCCTGCATATATCCCTGCAGGCCAGAAGAGGGCACCAAATCTCATTACAGATGGTTGTGAGCACATGTGGTTGCTGGGAATTGAACTCAGGACCTTTGGAAGAGCAGGCAAAGCTCTTAACCACAGAGCCATTTCTCCAGCCCCTTGCCACAATCTTCTACCAGTTAACTTTATTGTTTGTTGCTGTTATTTTTTAGGGAGGATTTCTCTATATATGTAACCTAGACTGCCCCCAATCTGATGATTCTCCCTCTTTAGTCTTCCAAGTTGGTACACAGTTAACTTTAAAATCCAATACACACAGAGAGACTTGTTCAATATAGTTCAACTAACAACAACAGCAGCAGCAATAAAAATCAAGTAGATAACATACTTACCATTTCTACAAGCTTCTCCAGAAATGGAATCAATTTTAGGAGCTCATTGTCATTTTTATCCATAAACCAGCTTTCTATAGGAATCCCATTAGAAAGCTAAAACAATAAATATGGAATTAAGTTCTCTTTAACTACATTAGCCTGCTTTGAAAAACTTAAAAAAACAGAGTTATATAACTATGGACATAAAAGTTTCTCTGGAAAAAAATATTATTAGATTTCACTGGCAGCTCACTAATGCAAGAGAGTTTAACTGACTGTTCAGTGTTCCTGATTTCCTCGGTGAGTGCAAAAGGGAAATAATAAAGAGCTCACTAGGCTATTCTACAATATTCATTCTAGAAAGTCACCAGCACAACGCTAGTCATTGTGGAGTAAAGAGAAACTACCAACCTAAACACTCTCAGAAAGCATATGTAAGTACGTTTACACAAGGACCATGCCCTTCCTATTCACTGGTTTTTTAATTCCTTCTTTCCTTTCTTTCCTTTTTTGGTCTCTCCTTTTCTTTTTGAAACACTCTATAGTCACTGTTCTATTCTTTTAAGAAGGGGTCTTGAGCTGGGTGGTGGTGGCGCACGCCTTTAATTCCAGTACTTGGGAAGCAGAAGCAGGCTGATCTCAGTTAGCTTGAGGCCAGCCTGGTCAACGAGTGAGTTTCAGGACAGGATCTAAAGATACAGAGAAACACTGTCTTGAAAAACCCAACCCCCAAAAAAAGAAAAGAAGAGAGAGAAGGGGTCTTGAACTGGGTGGTGGCAGCATACACCTTTAATCCCAGCACTTGGGAGGCAGAGGCAGGTGGAATTCTCTAAATTCGAGGCCAGCTTGCTCTACAGAGCAAGTTCCAGGACAGTCAGGGCTATTACACTGACAAACCCTGTCACTCTGAGGCCCAGGCAGGCCTTTAAGACCTGTGCTTAAACAATCAATCCTCCCACCCCAGACCAACCATTTTCCTGCTATCAACGCCTGAGTACAAGTAAAAGTACAAATACAAGGTAGGAAAACCACTGATTTTAGCAAAGTAAACTCTGGGGCAAGGATAGGGCCTTTAATTCCACCATTTGGGAGGTAAAAGAATGCTGATCTCTGAGTTCAAGGTTGGCATGGGCTACATATACATATGTTGAGAGAGAGAGAGAGAGAGAGAGAGAGAGAGAGAGAGAGAGAGAGAGAGAGACTGACTTAAAAGATAAAACAAAATGTCTTCCAATAATTCAAGTGATAGAACAGAGCTATAGAAATAAACAGGCCGGGCAGTGGTGGCGCACCCCTTTAATCCCAGCACTTGGGAGGCAGAGGCAGGCGGATCTCTGTGAGTTCGAGTCCAGCCTGGTCTACAAAAGCTAGTTCCAGGACAGGCTCCAAAGCTACAGAGAAACCCTGTCTTGAAAAACCAAAAGGTAATATTAGCAAAACACACAAAAATCTAGCCAAAACACTTCAAATTATTTAAGTCAATAGACTAGAATATTGCTAATTTTAGTTTTCAAACATGTTTATAATTTTAAAAAAATATCAAGGGGCAGGTGGTGGCGGCCTGATCTACAAGACTACAAGAGCTAGTTCCAGAAAAGCTATGGCTGTCACACAGGGAAAACCTACCCTGAACAAAACAAACAAACAAATAGAAATGCTACTAAATGGTGTCCTGACCCCTCATTTTATCTGCAGATTTACTACTTAGATCTCTCTTAATTTATGTTGTACTTCAGGTAGAAAACAAATTTCCACAAGTACTTATCTATTTGGCCTTTCTAATCCTAAAAGATTACATAGTAAACAAAAATTACTGTTTTTTTTTTTTCTATCATAATTTCTTGGCAGCAATTGTCTTCTTTGTAATTTTTTCAATTGGGTTTCTATAGGAATCTTCTCCCTACCTGATAGGCAAAGGCTTGTGGTGAGTTGTCAATTATTATAGTTTTGGAAAGATCTCTTCCAAGGATATTTAAATCTTTTATATAGTTTCCTTGTACACAAACACAATGTTCTCGGAAAAGCCGATGCCTAAACAAAAATAAAAAGAGATTTTAAAACATGCACTGAAATTCATATGCCACAAGATTTCTAAGTATTCTTTCTTTCAGGAAGCAAATTCAACTACAAACATTGGCCTAAGTTGTAGTATAGTTTCAATACAAAAATTCTTAGCAATTATTGAGACCTTTTTAAAAAAAAAAAAACACCAAATATTACAATGGTTTAAACAACTCTGGTTTATACTATGTCATAAAATAAAAAGGAAATTAAAGCTTTGAAGTTGTTTTTGTAATTTAATTACCCAAGAAAGCTCAGCTCAGATGCAGCATTTGGTTGTCATCGAGGTCCTGCTTTTTAACCAATTTTCCAGATGGTTGACTGAGGCACAAGTGACTTGCCCAAGGTCACAGTAAGTCTGTGGTTAGTTGGAAACCAGGATCCTCCTGGCTCCCAGTCCTTTGCTCTAACCAGTAGACCACACAGCCTCCCTATCCCTGTACATGCCAGAATAGAAAATATAAGAAGGTATGTTTTTGTATTGGAGTTAAAATATTTTTTTTTTAAGTTTTCCTAATAGTTTTTTGAGAAAAGATGCTGAGGCCAAAACATTCCATCATTTCAACTTTCCCAAACACTCTTATTTCTGTGTGTGTGTGTGTGTGTGTGTGTGTGTGTATGTGTGTGTAATACTGATTCAAAGAACAGGGATTGAAAAAAAATCAAATGTAAACTAATAATCTTACAAACTAAATAGAAAATTCTGCCATTTTAAAAGCTATTAAAAGATGTGTAATTCTTATATACTATAGTAATTATGAAATCTGAATTTATTATCAAGATACTGTTTTCTAAATATTACTAATAACTGAAACAGGTTTTTCAGCTTGAAATACGTTTGTACTATATGCCTTAACAACTGAGTTTGTCTTGCTGCTTAACCCTTAACAAATGTTCATGAGCAATATACTATTCATGCCTGTACTTTTTGTTTTATAATTTCAAGAAAGGAGTATATTTTCAGCTGGGCATAGTGGTGGTGCATATACAGATGCAGCTGCATCTCTGTGAGCCCAGGGCAGCCAGGGCTACACAGAGCAACCCTGTCTTGGAAGAAAAAAAAAAAAAAGAAAAAGAAAAAGAAAAAAGAAAAAGAAAAAGAAGAAAGCGTTTTCTACCCATACACTCTGTTCCAGTTCAATTCCAACATGTAAAAAGCACACACAAACTCATCTTAAAAACCAGTGCTAGTGGCAATGACGATTAGGGAGCTTTAGTTACCCAGCTACTAAGAAATAATTCTCTAAAGCACTTCAAAAATTTCCAATCAGCCACATTTTTTTTCCCTCTTTAAAAATCCAATATGGTAGAACAAACAAGCATTTCCAAGCGTGTAGATTTTACAATACAATGTAACAGCATGGCTCCTCTCCAGGAAATGAAACTGCACAAGAGCCAGGACCATGCTGCTTACAACTGTTGCTACCATACTAAAGATACTGAAAGGAAATCTTGGGTTGGAGAGATGGCTCAGAGGTTCAGAGCAAGGACTACTCTTCCCAGAGGTCCTGAGTTCAATTCCCAGCAACCACATGGTGGCTCACAGCCATCTATGATGAAATCTGGTGCCCTCTTCTGGCGTGCAGGCATACATGGAAGGAATGTTGTATACATAATAAATAAATAAATTAAAAAAATCTTTTAACATGAATAGTCATCAAAGCAGAATCTAAATTTATATACTTTTATTAAAGTTAGGTACAGTGAGCATATATTACAGTATACATTTGTGAATAGGAAATACCATATCTTATCTCTGTAATTTATTTGATCCTTTCAATTAAAAATTAAAGATCACAGTTTAATTGTAACCATTCAATAAAAGTTCTTTTGAGTTTGTTGAGACAGCATCTCACTGTATAGCTCACGCTGGCATGAAACACAGAGATCTGCCTATCTCTATTTCACAAGCTCTGGAGTTAAAGTCTTATGCCACAACACATGGGAATAAAGTATCATCAATAGTAAACTAGGTTTAAGATTTATAACTAAAGTATGGGAGATAATGCTCAATACAATATCCAGCTAAATAGCTGCTATGAGCTTCTTACATCCTTTCTCTATTTTTTTTTTTTTTATCACTAAGTCAGACTTACTCCTGCGCCTCAGACGATGGAGCAAGTGTACTACAGTCTTGACTAAAGTGTCTTCAGCTGACAGAAATAAAGGACTGATTTTCAAATCGCCCAAGGCAGCCCTGCTACCCAGGAATACACTTCATTTGCTCGTTAATGACAAACACAAGAAACAGAGTCCAGTTTAGGATAAACTGCATGATCAATCCAGTTTTAATTTCCAGATAGATGCATGTAACATTTTCTCAGGAGAGAGGGAGGCAAATCTAGTCTTAAAGCATCCTTTCTACTATATTCCTAAATGCCATTACAGAGGCAATATAACAAACATTATCTCAGAGACACGAAAGTAAAACAAGCTCATAGTGAAAATATCCACCACCCGCCTCACCCAAATTCCCAAAGAAATGAAGATATAAATATAATAGGAAATATATCTGACTTTGGGACCCTTTAAGGAATGTCTGTCTGAAGCCACATAATTAGAAACTCTTAAAGAGTTGTTTGTGAGACTTAAAAGACTCATTTACTATTCAACACAATAATCTCTAGCTATCAGCCAACTGAAAATGGCCATTAAAATTAAATAAAGTCAAGGTAATTGCATGGATAAGTGTGACAGACATTTCTACGATTTCTTAATTAAATTTACCTGACCAGTTGCTTTTTAGGGTCTAGTATGTTCAGTAACTTGTCTGCATACACCTTCTTAGAAGCAGTAAAAAGAATGATCTACAAATTCAGGGAAAAGAAGTAATCATTATACATGATCTAAATATGGGTACTATATTGAATAAAAATACATAAGGAATTAGTTTAAGCACATTTACCTCATACATCTGAGACATTCGTTCAAGGAATTCCCTGAAGAATGGTCTTAATCTCACATAAACCTGAAGAAATGCAAAGATAGTTTTCAGCAAATAAACATAATATAATTTAAAAGTTCCTATTTTAAAGTAACAGAAATATTTACTAAGTATCACTCAAACCAAATATATTCCATGTACCAGAAGCCCTTAAGATGACTTTTAGAGACAGTAATCATTGTTTCATTTTTAATAGCAAATACAACTGTATTTCACTGGAATGTAATTTCAAAAAGCATTTCAACTAAAAATAGATTTCCCTCATTATAGATTGTGATCCACCAATCAGTTCCATCTTCCAAGCAGGTAGCATCCATCCAATTATGCTGTAGGCTGTGAGTCCAGCTCTAAGTGACCTGTCTCAATGGACCTTCAATTACTCAGAATGTCTTCTAAAAAAGTACCTGTTAAAAATACCTATTGAATTTTTATATTAAGACAAGTAATAGTCAAGAAGGTGGTATCTGGATTGGCGAGTTTCAATAACTCCCCCTTTTCTAAAGAAATCAAACTTATCCTTGACATTTAATGTTTCAGACATAACAACCAAGTTTGTAAGTATACAAAGTCAGTAGTTCTCAAAGTTTACTTCTCAAGATTTTACACACACACATATATAAAAATTATATATATACTGAGTTGGGTTGAGACAGGGTTTCTGTGTCGTTCTGGCTGTCCTGGAACTCACTTTGTAGACGAGGCTGGCTTTGAACTCAGATCTGTCTCGGGAGTGCTGGGATTTAAAAAAAGCGTGCAACACCCAGCTATATATTCTTATCTCTAAGTTCAGCTTCTTTCCTAGTGTTACTGCTCTTTTAATATGCTGCGACTATCAGAAAAAACACACAAATATAAGCCATAAATAACCACTGAAGCTACTTACAAAAGACCGTTCACTCCTCTTCTTATGTTCACTTGGTGACTAAATTTTAGAAAAGTTTTGTACTCCATCCACTGAAAGATGACTACTGATTTCATATGTCATAAATAGACTGAGTTAGACAGATTGTGACTTTGTAACAAGCCTGTGGTGACAACACATCTAATGCACGCTTAGTGTTCAATTTTGCCATCTACATAAAAATGTTCCTGTGACAAAAAGGCCAGGTCTAGGAATGTTTAAATTTAACACACAACCTATAATTTGACATGGTTTCAAAATGAAAGGTAGCACTAAGGACAGAAGAGTCCAATGCTAGTGCTTCCATCCTGCGAACACAAGGGTTAAGAAGAGCTGTCTGTCAAGGTGTCTATCTGCAGAACAGATTCACTGTTTAATCAGAAAGGTATCACAAAAAGATTCAAAGACACAGATAACACAGTAGCTAATGGTGAAAAAAAAATAGTGGTTAGGTCTGGAATAAGACTAGAGAGCTGCGCCATGTGATACAAATGCACACAACCATAAAGAAAAATAGTAGAGATGAAGTACATGCCCAACAGGGTTTATGACTCAGAAATCTATTAAACATGAACAGGAATATATATGAATCAGCAAGTCCTAAGTTTTGTTCTAAAAGAAAGAATTAAGGCATGTATAATGTGGTCTTTCTTTGTTCACTAGGTCCATCTACCGGGGGCAAGGTGTGCTGTGGTGTGTACATGACATCAGTCAGAGGACAACTATTTGAAAATCCATTTTCTTCTTTCCCCATGTAGGGCCTAGGAACCAAACTCAAGTGGCAAGTCTTTTCCTTTTGAGCCATCTCATTGGCTCCAAAAATTTAGCTCCTGACACTAACATTATTTAATTGTATTAGATCACAAAGACAGACACAGCCATGCCTCTAAATCCTTCCAAACTTAAGCTTACAAGTAACAATTAGCTCCATTTTCCTTCTCCAAACTTCAGCCTCATACAGGATTCTATTCTGAAGCACCCACCCATCATTTCCTACCAACTATCCTCCTAAATAAAAACTCACAACTTTTTGTTTTGTTTTGTTGAGACAGGGTCTTAGTCTGCAGCCCAGACTAGTCTGGAACTTCCTATGTAGCCAGGATGACCTGGGTACTGTGGTGATCCTTCCTACCCAGCCTTCCCAACACTGGCATTCCAGGCGTTTGTAGCCATGCCTAACAAACGCAACTCTTAATTGTGTAAACTCTTAAAGACTAAAAGACTGATTTCACTCTAGCTAAAATGTTCTTCTAGACCCACAGCAATGCTATTTAGATTAAGTCTGTTTTCAATAAACTAAATATATTTTGGAAAATAAGTTAAATTTAAAAATAATGCTTAATGATAGCAATAAATTATTACTATCTGGCAAGACTGACAATCACTCAGAAGTGGGTATTGTGAATAAGTACATTTTACCAAATTTTTAAAAATCAGAAACATTATATTTTGTTGGGTGGTGGCGGCGTATGCCTTTAATCCCAGCACTTGGGAGGCAGAGGCAGACAGATCTCTGAATGTGAGGCCAGCCTAGTCTAGTGTAAGTTATAAGACAGCCAAGGCTATATAGTGAGACCCAGTTTCAAAAAACAAAACAAAACAAAAAATTAGAATCTATGAAGAACTGGCTTAACTAAAATTTAAATTTATAAAGAAAAATTATATATACGTATATAAATACATACACATATATATACACAGACACACAGATACACAATAAGAACCCAGTACACCACATTAACAATATAATAACACTACTTGACAATGGGTAATAGTTTATTTTCTGTGTCCTCTTTGGTAGCCTGTCAATGAAAACTGATGTTCATGGTACTAACAAAGCACAATAGAACCACAATTACATAGAAGACTACTTATAAATTGATTATAAACACTGAATTTAAGTCTGGTCAAACACAAATTTAACATTTCTATTAATTATCAAAATTTCATGTTATTTTAACAATAAGACAGAGAAACAAAGCAAAATCCTACCTACAGCAATTTCAAATTGTGAGAAAATTACTAGTCAACTTTTTTAGGAGAAATATTTTACATGATTTCCAAGCCCAGATTAACATTAAAAACAAGGGTTTTTTGTGTTTTATTTTTCATATAATGGTGGCACACACCTTTAATCCCAGCACTCAAGAGGTAGAAGCAAAACAATCTCTCTGAGTTTGAGGCCAGCCTGGTCTACAGAGTAAGTTTCAGGGCACTTAGCGTTACTCAGAGAAACCCAGTCTTGAAAAAAAAAATCTTTGATATATCCTTTGAACTTATTGATATACATGTCTATAATTTAAAAAAATAGTAAGTTTATACGGTAGAAGTATAGATCAAGGTTTACATGTATGCTTGGCTTAGTAGGGCCCTGGGTTAGCATTGAAAGAAACATATAGTCAGTAACTCATTAGAGATATATGCTTTTAGCCCCATTACTCCAGAGGCTGAAGCAGAAGGATTTCATTGAGTTTAATACCAGTCTGAGCCACAATAAATAATAAATAAATAAACAAATGCAAGTATATACCAGAGAGAAAATACACTAGGTATTCCTTTAAACAAAAAGATACCTGTGAGCACTAATTATTTAATAAGCAGAGACGAGTGCAAGTCATGTCAATAATGTGATCTTAGCACTTGGGTAGCTGAAAGCAGAAAACAAATGATGCTGGAGGTTTTTTTTTTTTTTAATAGATTCTTTTCTTTTTTTTTTATATATTTATTTATTATGTATACAACTTTCTGCCTCCATGTATACCCAAACGCCAGAGGAGGGCGCCAGATCTCATTACAGATGGTTTGGAGCCACCATGTGGTTGCTGGGAATTGAACTCAGGACCTCTGGAAGAGCAGACGGCGCTCTTAACCACTGAGCCATCTCTCCAGCCTGATGCTGGAGTTTTTGAAGAATTAACTAAATGTTAAATTATTAGGGGGCAGAAGATCTTATAATGAATAGACATACTGGTATACAAAGCGGCTCTGCCAATTTCCAACCTTTTGGCACAACTTCATTTCTTCATCTATAAAATGGATCCCAATGTTATAAAGGGTAAACAATACAGGTAAGCGTTTAGTATCGTACCCAGTGAATGTAAGGTGACAAAAACTGGTAAACACTATTACCTAGTTCTTTATTTAAAAGTCACCAGTGCCCCGTATTATGGGGTAGAACTGAGCAACCACAATCCTAAAGAGAAAGCCTTACAGCTACCAACTAGTCTCTTAAAAGAAAAACATTACTGACTCCACCAATATTTTCTTAGCATTAGCATGAAAACACAGAAAGGCTGCTCAAGTAAGAGCCATGGAGGTCCCCACTTTATAACCTAGAGGTTAATTTAGTAATCATTTGCCTCAACTAGTTCCAGTAAGAGGTGGGGAATCAATCTGGGAATGAACACGGAAGAACTCAAACACCAGAACCAAAATTTTCCTTAACTATCAAATAGAATTCAATCTGAAAAGGGGCTTAGAGTCCAAACAGGATAAACTGAAGTTTAATGTATTCATGTATATTATTAAGTATTCAATGAAGAATAATGTTTATGATGGGAAAAAATACCGATATATTTACACATAAATTTAAGTATTTAAGTACTTTAAATGACATCTATTAAGAGAAACTATAATTACTTCAAGGGCAAAAAGAAAGTAGCCATTTAAGTAGCAAAATGTTGCCTTTAAAAACCATTTTAGCATAAGCCAACATGGTGGCCCACGCCTTTGCAAAGCAGGCAGATTTTTGTGCTATTAAGGCCATATGGTCTAGAGTGAGTTCCAGGCCAGTCGGCGCCTCAAAGAAAGACTTTGTCTGTAGTAGTAGCAGTAACAACAACAATAATAACAACAGCAATAAGAAATCATTCTAGTGAGCAATCAGGAAGTTGAAAGATTGTGAGTTCTAGGCCCACCTGGGCTATACATACTGAGACCATATCTCAAAAATAAAATGAAATAAAAACCACTCTCAAACATCATTCTAAAGATAATGAACCCTCCAATTTAGTTCACGCTGTAATCAACTCTCATCTCTTCTATATTTAAAATACTTTCAGCTGTTAAATAAGAACTTTCATGTGTAAAGTCCATCTACCCCTCCCCATATATAGCCCAAGCA